TATTATTGAGAGATAAGGGATACTCATTTTCGGCAATTGCTACAAAATTAAATATTTCCAAAACGGCGTGTATACAGGCAATGCAATTTATATCTAAGACAGGATCTGTTTGTAACGTGTCGAGTAAAAGAAGGCCTCGTAATACAACAGCACGAGAAGATCGCATTCTTCACAGCATCTCTGAAGCGGACCATTACAAAACAGCCGAACAAGTTCTCAATGAATCTGGTGTCGAAATTATCAGCAAAATTAGTGTTCGAACAGTGCGAAGAAGATTAAACGAATTTAATCTTATGGGTCGCATCGCTCGCAAGAAGCCACTCATTTCCAAACGAAACCGAAAACTTCGTTTACAGTTCGCTAAAAATCATCGCAACTGGACAATAGCAGACTGGTCAACAGTTGTTTTTACCGATGAGTCCAAGTTTAATAGAATGGGGTCAGATGGCAAATTGTATGTTCGACGTCGTGTCATCGAGGAATTTTCGCCAAAATGTATAAAATCAACCGTGAAAGGTGGAGGAGGTTCAGCGAACGTTTGGGGAGCGTTTACGTTACAAGTTGTTGGCCCAATTCATAGAATTGAAGGAATAATGGATCAATACAAATACATTGATATATTAAATGAAGTATTGCTCCCATTTACAAGAAATCAAATGCCAGATAACTGGGGATTTTGCAAGCTGACAATGACCCGAAACACACAGCCCGTAGGGTTAAACAATTTTTATGTCAGCAAAATGTAAACATTATACCATGGCCCTCTCAATCTCCAGACCTCAATCCTATTGAGATGCTATGGATTGATGTGGAGAAACATGTAAAATATAAAAAGCTCAAAAATTTAAATGAACTGTACGCTGTTATTCAAGAAGGGTGGAATAATATTCCAGTCGAGCGTTGTCGTCGTTTGATTGAGTCTATGCCAAGACGTTGTGAAGAAGTGATACGGCAAAAAGGGAGTGCAACGCGTTACTAACTACTTTTTAAGTTTTATGTTTCCGCAATTACCAAGTTTTATTAATTTTACCTGTATTTATAGTATTAGTCTAATTTGGTTTTAAGTAGTTGTCCGCTGTTATAACGACCTAATCTGAGAAAATGTTAAAAATATTTGTAGTTAATAGTGTTGTAAATAAAATTATTGCGATATTATGGTATAACATACTTCAAAATGTATTTCATATGAGTTTAGTATACGAAAAATACAATGAATAAAATATTAGCACTGTTTATTTCCTTAACTACCCAGCGGTCTTAAGTAGCTGGCCGCCACTGTATGTGTTAGAAGCCATACCTTGCCCAATGTCCATCAATCTACAAAATAAATTCAAGCCTTCTCTGCCAATGCCCAACAGTCTCATAACGAACACAATGCGACGGTTGATTTCATACGCATTTTGTATGAATGGAGATGAATTTTTTTTTTTTAATAATAATAATACATCCACAACTGGCCTCTTTTTAAGCCAACCAGCAGATTTGATGTAATCTGGTGTGTCGTGCGTATCTTTTAAGGAAGTGATGTTAGGAAACAAATGTTTTAACAGAAATTGTTTGGTACGAGGGGGAAAATTATGTAGTATAAATATTTTTTTTGTACCGGGTATAGTGGGGGAGATTTCAAAGTCAGTTTAATTTTTTTAAAAGGAATGCTATATTTTTTTATACATAATATGATAGTGTATGTTAAGGGGTTAAGACGAGTCCAACAAGGTGCGAACAAAGTCATTTCCTTTCATGGACGGTAGTAAAATTGCGAAAAACCGGGAGCCGGACCACCATACGTTCCTCACTGTCGTGTGTGTCTCTTGTCTCCTGCTTTTATAAGATAGTGTTTTGATTCACTTTCGTTTATGCTTACGTAGAAGTTCCTTTCGTTTAAATAAGATTTTAATAATAAGTAAAAGTTATGTGGTGTAGCAAGTCTTATTTTGTACAGCAACCCCGTGTGCCATACTTTATCAAAAGCTTGGCTTATGTCCACAAAGGCTGATGAGCATATCTTGCGTTCTTCTAAGTTTTTTTCAATTATGTTTATTAGTCGGTGGATTTGTTGAATTGTGGAGTGTTGTTCTCTAAAGCCAAACTGGTGTTGTGGTACGATATTATTCTCTTTTAAAAAGGGTTTTATCCGTTTTAGCAGTAGCTTCTCCAATAGTTTTGATAGTACAGGGAGCATGGAGATTGGTCTGTAGGATGTCAGTTCATTAGGTGGTTTGTCCGGTTTTGCAACAAGTACGATTTTTGCGTATTTCCACTGAATATGGAAGTATTGTATTCTTATAATCGCATTGTATATTTGGGTTATGGCTACTACTCCCTTCTTGGGTAATTCCTTTAGCACCTTTGCATTTATTAGGTCATAACCTGGAGCTTTTTTACTATTGAGTTTTTGTATATCTCTTCCTACTTCTCTTGGGCTAAAGTGCTTGATAGGTTGATACATTTGCAAAGATGCTAACGTTTGCATGATATCGTCATCCTCTACGTCGGTTATCGTTTCTGTGTTAGGAGTAAAATACCTTAGAGAGGTGTAATGCGAAGATTTCCGCTTTCTGCTTATCGCTTCTAGCCCACGTATTATTTTCTCGACGGACTGGAGCGATGTGTGTTATCGGTCTTTTTATCTTCTTTGTTACGTTCCACAGAGAATAATCATCTTTTGGATGTGCAGAGAGACTCCTTATGTAGTCTTGTATGTTTTGATTTTTTATTCGATATAGGAGCTTTTTTAACTCTTTTGTTATTCTGTTAATTTGGATTTGTCCTCCGGATGTCGAGACATTTGCCATTTACGTCTAGCATTTCTTTTTCTCAGAATTGTTTCTTTTATATGTTTAGGCCAGTTAGATATGCATGTTTTCAGCTTTCTTTTTAATCTCTGGTGTCGATTCCCATGCAGCGTATTGGATATTCGTGATTAGCTCTTCTGTGGCTTCGTCAATGTCGTCTTCAGTTTTTAGTGAGATATTTAGGGATGTATTTCCATCTATTAGGTGTCTGAATTTTTCCCAGTCCGTTTTTGTATTATATAATGAAGGTTTTCTCTCCTTTTCGGATATGCTGGAGAATATTGTTAGGATTACTGGCGAGTGGTCGGACAAAAGATCAAAGCTTGGGTCGACATTGACCTTATTCAATGAGACTCCCTTGGTGACGAAGAAATCTAAGAGGTCTGGAATTTTAGATGTATCTGTAAGCCAATAGATGGGTTTACCGGTGCTTATGTGACTGTATCCTCTTCTTTAGAGTGTTTTATGCAGTTCTCTACCTTTGGGGTTGATAAGTCTCGTCCCCATTGCGGGTGTTTTGCATTGTAGCCTCCTCCTGCTATGAATCTACCTCCTAAAGAATCAAAGAACTTTTCAAATTGTTCCTTTTTTACAGAATGCCGTGGTGGGCAATATATAGCAGCTATTGTCAAGAAACCGCTGGAGTCTTTTATTTTAATACTTGTTGCTTGTAGGTAGTCCTCTTCATATTTATCCATTTCAAGGTGTGGGATTTTTTCACTGATTATCACAGCAGTCCCTCCGTGGATGTTGAGTGTGGTATGTCTTATATTTATAAATACTGAAATAGTTTCTGTCTGTGAAATGAGTCTCTGCCACCAAGAGGATGTCTAATTTTTCTTTGTTGAGAAAGACCTCTATTTCATGGCGATGTTGTGCCAGGCTGTTCGCGTTCCAGAGACCTATTCTTAGTATGTTAATTTTGAATGTTTTTATTACCAAGGAGAGATGTGAGTAGATTGATGATCATGTTGTTTTGATTCATCAGTTGGTTAAACATGACTTCGAACTTACCCAGGAATTGAACAACCATTGCACCAGTGTTGTTTTCTGCTTCGTTATTGTTTCTACAAATATTTTTAACATTTTCTCAGATTAGGTCGTGATAACAGCGGACAACTACTTAAGACCGATTCGTGTTTTTCATTTTTTGCTTATTTTCACATTACCCTATCGTTGGCTTGTTGTGAGGTACCTCTCACGTTGCTTCAGCGTAGCTTACATTTTGCCTTGCTATTTGGCTACGGAATGGGCGTTCTGTTTTTACTGGATTATTCCTTGTTCTTTGCAGCTCCTTGTATACGTTGCAACCCTTATAACTAGTTGGGTGTGAGCCGCCGCATAGAGCATATTTAGGTGGAGGGTCTTTACTTTTAGTACATTCTCCTGTTGGGTGATTATCAGCACATTTTACACATGAATAAGCTTTTGTGCGACCGTATTCCTGACATCTATGGCATTGCGGAATTTCTCTCTTTTTCCGTGTGATTTTTGTTCCTAGTAGAGATTTTAGCTCGTAAATGTCCTTGTTATTCTCACCTGGTTCTTGATCAATGACGAAAAGTAGCAATGGTTGTTTTGTTTTCCAGTTTCGAATATTTACGACGTTACATATTGTCCACCAGAGTGCACTCGAGCGATATCATTGCGATTATTTCACTGCGATTTCTTTGGTGATTATTTTCTTTGAGTTCGTGCACAATGGCTGAAGATCAGCAGGTAGCGGTGCCCTCAACGTCGTCAAGACCTAGTGGCGTTGGAGATTGGATAAAGTCCTACTTTGGTAAGGCCCTATCAAAGGACGAGATTACGGAACAACTGGACTTGATTGAGCGTGAACGAAAGCTCGTAGAAGTCATACGCGAGGCAATATTCAGCAATGCCGAGGCCTTCTTACGTGCCAAAACTTTTGGCAAGAAGATTGATAACAACTACTTCGCCTATTGTACGACATTGCTGCATGAGTACTTCGCTAAAAAAAAGATCGAAAACTTCGAACTGTAGGCCGACATAATTGAACAGGTAATCCCTGTTCATATGAACAACAAGCTTCGAACGCAGCCACTTCACACCATTGAAACGGAGGAGCGCGCCATGGAGTACAACTGTGAGATAGAAGGCAGGGTTCCCAAATTTAGCTGGTGGAACCCATTCAGCCGGTATTTAATCTCCGTTAATGACTGCCTGGTAAACTACCAAGCCCCCATGCCCAGATGGCGGTCATTCAATTGGAAACCGGTTATGTGGATGGGTATCGGCGCGGTCGGGACCAATCTGATCGCCCGATATTGCATTTCCCGAGTCTTCTCCGACACAGGAACTTCTATTACTATCCCGTGTGCGCCACAACAACCCACGCTGCCTATGCCAACCGACACCAACCTGTGCTCTTGCCCGAGTACAATAAGGTGCGTGTCAGACAAACTTTTAGACACTTGCTCAAGTTTGTTAAGAAAGGCAGCCCATGGAGTAAAGACCGGTATTGCGAAAGCCTGGAGCCGGTTAGTAAGCGAGCTATGTACGAGCGAGTCCTCACCACCATCAGAACAGGTGGAAAGGTTTATAGCTCGATTAGACCTTTCACGAAGATAGAGAAAACATCTCTCTCTAAATACAAGGCACCAAGAATGATACAGGCTCGTGATCCAACATTCAACATTAAGTATGGTCGTTTCATTAAACCATTAGAACATAGCATAACAAAACATGGCAAGTATAAATTCAATTTTGGCAAAGGAAATACAATCGTTTATTTTGTTACTCGTCCCGGCGGCAGCGGTTCGGCGGGTACGTCGCGATGGTCGGTAAAGGAAAAACTGTCCGGAGGTGTAGGTGTACTGGGTTTTTATATTGTTAGGATAGGGAGACAGAAGTAGCGATAGATAAAGATAGAAGTGGAGAAAGTGGTGGAAACGGAAAATTCGTGGAAAGCGGGCCGTTCGTCCTCGTGCGAACCTGGATGCCACATGTGCGCTTCTTAGGCCACTCGAGGACGAAAGCAAGTCTTAACCCGGGGAGAGACAAAAGAACGGAAACTAAAATCTGATGGAGTTGGAAAAGAGAAAGTTCGCGTGGAAGAATAGAACGAGGTTCGGTAAGGATTTGTTGACGACGACGTACCCGCCACAGTATTTTGAATCCTATACTTTGTAGCTTGTCTTTTATGTCGTCTGTTGGTATGGTAGCGTGCAGGTTTTTGATTACCACTCTATATGCTCTTTCCTCTCTCGGTTGATACGTGTAGGACTCTACATTACCTTGCTTGAGAAGATGTACAGTAAAAGTTCTATAAGAGTTTTTTCGGATCTACGCCATGACTGTTCATGGTCTATCCCCACCACAAGGGGGGACCACCCTTGAACCAGGCAAGCGACTAATGTGACACGGTCACGGTATCTCCTTATCGCATTCGGTGGCGGCATGTCCGTGAGACAATACTAACAAAACTACAAAAGTAGTTTGTTATTTTCAATTTTTCGTTAATAAATATTTCATCAAAATATTGGTGAGATTTTCCTGATTAAAATGATACCAAACACGATATTGTTACAAAATTTGGTTGTGTCGATTGGGGCTTGTGAATCTTCCTTTGCCCGCTACGTTCATTTCACTGTTTACATCACAGAATGTGATTAGCCAGTGTTTTTCGTTAATAATTCAAAAATGAAGCTTCAACCAACATTTTGGTAAAGGGAAAAGTTGTTCAGAGTCACTCTAGCAACCCCCCATTTCCGGGTGCTACACTCTTTACGAAACACCCCGTATGTGTACCTTTTATATTTTATAATTATACACAGTTAAAAATGACTCTGGAACTCAATAGTCTGTCCAGCATCAGCGAATGTAGGACATAACATTGTCAATTAAACATTAAACTGATTTATTTATTATATAAAGACATATAATCTGCTCTATGAAATTTTTGTCTCTATTCGAGACTAGTAACATTTTTCATGATAGTTAGTTGATAGTTGCTGTACGAATTTGAATTTATTTGGATGATAAAATGCCATTATCTATATGAGTGCTGTTTGTTAATGAAGAGTTTGTGTCCATTAATAGACAAATTTTTTGAACCGATGAAGTGTTCCTATTTAATACATGCGGAACATCTTAATTGAAGCATACGTCTTGAAAAAATATAAAATATTTCATTTCCATTTTTTAGATGCGCCGTTGCACTTAGAAAAAAGTAAAATTTCTCGTTTACAACTGTTTTCTATCTCTGTCTAAAGAAGAGATTCAGTCTAATTAAATTTTAATACATATACGGTATAAAATTTCAGATCTTCCAGAAGGAATTTTGAAGAGGAACTAGGGGAATTAGAGATTTGTCAATTGAATCTCAGTAGCCTTACGAGCATTAAGAAGTGTGCGCAGCGTTTATTAACAAGTGAATCGACTATTCATATATTAATTAACAATGCAGGAGTATTTTTGCATCCATTTGAAAAAACTGAAGATGGTTTCGAGACACATTTTCAAGTTAATTATTTAGGGCATTTTCTGTTAACACTTTTGTTGTTACCAAAAATACAAAAATCTGCACCTGATTCTAAAATAATTAACGTTTCATCTTTAATACACAAATGTAAGTAACCGTACAAATTACACTGATTTTAATTCCCAAATTAAGAGGCAAAACTATAGGGGCCTAAGAGTGCGTTGTACTTATCGCAGCGTCCAAAAAAACAATCATAATATCATAGATCATGGGAATGCTTTATTTCCTATATACAGTACAATGACCGCACTTATGGTTCTTCATTAGATGATTATTGAAAACAGAAAATTGAATGAAACATAGATAAATCGCGGACATTCTTAGCTAATAAATTCGCCTTTGTTCAATATAAATTTAAACAAATATATCTTAATGCACTATTCGTGCTTTTCTTTCGTGAAATTTTCCATTTTGCTTCAAGGAATTATGAATTTAGAACTCATTCCGTATATACTGCACTTAGAACAACTTTTCCATGTTTCTTTTAATAATACACTGGCGTGTCGAAGAGTACCGTATGGATTGTTTCATACTTCTCGCCATCCTGTAGATTGTTTTATGCAATAAAATTTAAGAATTAAAAAGTTATGTTTATAAAATTTACTTGCAGCATTAATTGAATTTTTCTATCATAGACGGCGATATACACTTTGAGGATTTAAATTTGGAGCGCCATTATTCTCCTGTTAAAGCTTACAGTCAAAGTAAGCTGGCTAATATATTATTTACTAAGGAATTGGACAGAAAATTAAAAAGTAAGTAATAAATGAAAAAATAACTAAGAACATCCATCTTAAGTATAGTTGGGGCCACGATATAGCGAGGTCGTAAATTAAACTCTCAAGAATCGGCATCGATTGATGTTGCGGCACTCAAGGCCGTGTGTTGCAGTCTGTTTGAGGGTTCCAACAATAAACGAATGGTAGCATATGATTTGGTACTTCAAGTAGAAAATGGTATTTCATTTACAAATGGAAAATATGTTAATATTAAAGCTACACAATCCTTTTGCATTTTCTATCTGCATCTTGTAACCGTACTTCCAAATGCGGCTTTTCCCAGAAGAAAAAAACCCTAAATTGTCCTAGCTGAACTCAATTTTCAGTAAATATATTAGAATCAGTTTGACTTTCGCTGGATAGAAGAATTCTTTGTACGGTCCTGACCATGGTTTCAAGTACTTATCTGCTCGTATCTCTGTCAATTTTCGGGTACCGGCAGCTAAAACATGTTTACTTTGACGCCTAACCGATTTTACGACCTCGCTATATCGTGGCCCCGACTATAAACCATATCGGATCACAATACGCGCGATGAAAGAATAAAGACGAGATCGATGGGCAATATTGTGAACGGTGACAAAGAGACCAAGGACTCGGAGAAAATACTTTAACGGAGAATGTGCACGATCTTTTTTTATGCATGGGATCTAGTGGCATTCGCAAAGCGATTGCAACATCCATGCTTACCCTTGTCATTGTCAGCTTACAAAAGGTATAGCAGGATAAGGGGTCCGAAAGTACCCTTAAACCAAATTGGTCTCGCGATGGACCATTCGATAGCGTGTCGAAAGGAAACATTTGACACCAAGTTTTAACCTTTTATCTCGATCGAGGGTGGGGTGATAATTAAAGGGAAAATTCGGATTATTAGTTTTTGCTCCATTTTACCTATTTAGTGACATACAAAAATTTTGAAAAAAATCTGGACGTTGCATATACAAGGTGATTCACCTAAATTCACAGAAATAGTTTATGAAGTGTTTCATGATTTGTTTTTTTTCTATATTGTTTTTATACTGTTACGTGTTACGCTTTGTGTCCTCACACGGAGCGTAATATTGGTTTGTGATCGACCGGTCGGAACATTCAACGTATGTGGTTGATACGTCATACTCCAACAAGTCCGATAGGATTGGAACCTTCGACGTATGTGGCTAATACATCGTTCTCCGAAGGATGGAATGGTTGGAAGGTTGTGAGGACAGTGCGTACCGTAATGTTGGCTATATCTCCAGCAGTAAAGATATATCCTTGCGAGTTTAGCTGATTCGTTACTAATGTTACAGAGGAGATGGTTAATTGAATATAGGCAGATGTAATTCTGCAGTAACTATATTCTAATAATAATATTTGAGTTTACAAAAGTTTACAATGGTCTAAAGATAAAGTATACTGGTCGATTCTTGACTGAGCAAGAATCTTCCTTCTTGACTTTACACGAGTATGCGGGGGAGTCGTAGACAAGTACTGTCCGACAAACTTAAAGTGAAGCCTCTGACGTCACACAGGGCCTAAAAGTAGGAGACGTAGGGAAATTTGCGACGGCTCGCTGTTAGTAAGCCACTAGGGATAGAATAAGGCTATCGCACTTACTCTTCTACGAACAATAGATGACGATCGGGTCTCATTCGAGCAGTCGGTAAACAGATGAGCAGTCGATAATTGACCAGAATGATATTTTCAAGCGCTTGAAAAAAAATTAAGTTTACGTTGCGCAGACACCATAAACAGGCGAACAGATGTTTGTGCGACGCCAAACGACGTGCATCATAGTAAACTTTATGTTTTTATCCCATGTTCCCAAAATTTCTCTATTATTTCGATAAGCTTATTTTACAGGTTAAAATTCAAGCAATCCAATGGTATTTTTTCAAAATTATTCTATGAGTGGGAACAGTGTCAAATTAGCAATTGAAACTTTAGCAGCGATTATTGCTCTGAAATGAGCCCAAGGTCGAAATATTATCTTTAAACGAAGCAGAAATATTACGGTTAAAGTGACGACATGTCGTCTGATTTTGTCAAATTTTTCAAAATTTTAACATTAAATAGTGGCTGTTTGATGGCTTTTATTGGCTGTAAAAAGAGGCTGCCGGTCTGTGGTGGCACGCTATTTTTCATTGCAGCCAGAAATTTTTTAGCTCCTTAAGCAATTATTTAATGCGCCGAGATGTACTTTTATTATTCAGGAATAGGAAAAAAATATTTACATTTGAGTTTTCTAACTGTTAAAAAATATTAATACATTTCCTGAGGCTTCCTTTACAATAACAATTTATTGTGTATGGGTCGCTTAGACATTAACGTCTGCGCTATTAAATATGTCTTACGCGCCAACGTAGGTAAGAGGACAAGGCGACCAAATAATTTTTAGTTTTCCGTTCTTCTATCAGCGTGTTACAATATCGACAGCTGACTTAAATTCGTGTGTCTAAACCATTTACCTACAACGCAACTTCCCCTCAAACGCCCGCAGTGTAAGACCCAAGAGTAGTGGGGATGACCTGAATCGCCTATTTTGCCTCCATTTTGCTAGGCTGTGACGTCAGAGGCTTCACTTTAGGTTTGTCGGACATTATGTCTAGTTGACACTTATGAAATAAGTATTAAATTCGGTTGCTTGAAAGGGAGTTCAGCCCCATCTTGCCTGTGTCGAACGGCGACTATACGAATACTGCTCTACTTTAATGTTCAGAGTGACTCTGCCCCAGAGCATCGGAAATCATGCCCTTATATGCCCCAAAAATCTGTATTTTTGGTGGTGGGGGCCCTAGTTGTCCGTCGAGAACGAAATGCGTTCGTTTATTCTATCTCAAGGGTCTTCTAGGGGGTGCGCGCTAGGCGGAAGTCTCGGCGCCGCCGTGTCGGCTAGTCTGCGTACGTAACAATGCATAAAGTTTTGAAGGTCACCATAAGTAAATAAATATTAAGATGTAATATGTCCAAAATGAGTATTTATTGAGATATTTACGATAGTATTTCTATTTTAGTGAAATAGAATTTACGCAAAAATACGCAGAAGCATATTTCTTTACCCGTAAATTTAGTGACTTATGTTCTTAATAAATTCCAATTAAGTGAAATGGTAAATACAGACTACCAGTATGTGAAAGGAGCAGTGAAAAATGTAAATAATAAGTTTGCTGTTAGGTGGAAAAAGTGTAACCGTACAGTGTCATCTTTTCTCACCGCGAATGGCTGGATGGCATTGAGATCTTAATATCAACTGAATCCCCTGCAGGAAGTAAAAGAGGGGTCGACCATCAGAAGATTTCAATGAAGCTAGTGATCGATCTAAAAAGCAAAAGATTTCATCTTCAATAGATAACTATAGTACAGAAGAATTATCATTTGCAGCAACTAGCATAAGAAAATCTGGCAGAAAGGACGCTGTACTAATGGTGCAAATTATTTACAGCAAACTCTCCAAAGAAAGCAACCACAATTTAAAAAAGCCATTACGCCGGAAAACTTATTCCATCCAATTAAATATACGCCAGAAGAGGCTCTGCCCTGTACGTTGATGGATGCTTTACGAAACATTTGTACAAGATGATGAGAGGTGGAGCTAAAGCATGCAATGTTGATATATATCCAATTAGATTTTTAATAGTTTAAGAATTATTTATTAAATACTAGAATAATATATAAAGAAAAATGCATCGACGCCGTACATGCCGCGCACATTCTGCGAGACGCTAACAACGGACTGGGTTTCGGACAAAGGAAAAAACAAAAACGAATCGCAACACACTCATATCACCCAGGCACATTTATCACGCGAATACATGCGGAACACGAAAATGCTTAACAAAGGGAAGGCACAGGTGTGGAAATCGCTTTTGGAACGGCATTATGTGAAAGTTGTAGTACACATGTAGTGTTACAAAAGCCTCATAGGTATCTTCAGAATGAGCCTTCGTTTGTTAGATATTTTAATTTAAACATTTGTATGAACTTAGTAACTCAGGTACGTGGCACATGTATCCAAGAAGGTGTCGTGTTTGCGGCGGTTGGGCGTTTGCCTAGGGTTCAAATCCAGCAGGAGTAAGAAGTTTTTCTTTTCTTTCCTTTCTTTTTTTTAAATTACCTTTACCGTAAAAGTATTCTTATTATATATAATGGTTTTCATAATACATATTATAGATTATCCTACACAAATTTCAAAGTTAAAAATGCTTTTAAATCATAACATATTATTCTAATCGCTTCATATACATGCTGGGGTGACTCTGAACAACTTTTTCCTTTACCAAAATGTTGGTTGAAGCTTCGTTTTTGAATTATTAACGAAAAACACTGGCCAATCGAGCGCGCGCTCAACCACGAGAGCGTTGGCTCTCAACCGCGCTCGGTCGTGGTCGTGAACAAACGTATTGGCACAGCGTGGGTATCGAGGGAAGCGTGCGGCAAATGTTACATCATTTTAAATTAAGAATAATGTGGAATTATTCGTTATTCATGAAAAACAAATAAATTAATAAGTCCTTTAATAACTATGTTCGATACTTTTATTCGTCATCCGAAAGGAATAAAGTGTTTTATTACTTATGAAAAACTTACCCATTCGTCCACGAATTAATCTGCTTCGATGGAAGTGGGTCGTTGATACTGGGTCATTGTGCCGATCCTGACCTTTCAAAGCAACCCTCAACAGGGGAGTATAATAAGAATATTTTTATGGTAAAGATACTTAAAAAAAAAGAAAGAAAAGAAAAAAAATTTTCTTACTCCTGCTAAATTCGAACTCCAGCTAAACGTGTGGTAGACAAACCCTCTATTTCTTTTTTTTAATAGTTGCTTTATTCATAGACGTGTTCTGCAGTAATTACAACGCTTACAGGTAGTGAATGTTACGTACGCAGACTAGCCGACACGGCGGCGCCGAGACATCCGCCTAGAGCTCACCCCTTGAGATAAAGTAAACGAACGCGCTTCGGTCTCATGGGAAAATTAGGGCCCCCACCACCCAA